ATGTGGGGTTTCTTTCCTTTCCATATTAAGTTGGCGATTAGTTTTTCCATCTCTTTAAAGAATGATGATAGACTCTGGATCAAGATTGCATTATCTTTGTAGATCTCTTTGGATAGTATTGACATTTTCGCAATGCCAAGTCTTCCTATCCATAAGCATGGTATATTCTTCCATTTTTGTAGTTCTCTTTTGGTTTCTTGTAGTGGAGTTTTGCATTTTCTTTGTATAGGTCTTTTGTGCCTCTCATTAGATTTATTCCTAAGTACTGCATATTTTAGGTGGTTATTGTAAATGGTATTGTTTTCCTGATTCCTTTTTCAGAGTTAAGTGTAAAGGAATCCACTAAGTCCATATTTCAAAACAGTATTCTTGAGCCTATTTGTGTGCATGCATGCGTGTGTGTGTGTGTGTATTTTGCATTTTGTTCATGATTAGGTCCTTGTTTCTACCTGATTATGTTGCTGACATGGAGTTCAGAGCTCTTTTTTATCCTCATTTGCTTGTTCTTGCATAATTGGTATTATGTTCATTAGCAGTTTCTTTATAAAACTGTTTTTAATCCACTTATCTACTTCAAGAGGATTACTTCAATTAAAACTAGTAGATAATAAATTCCACAAAACTGGACACATATAAACTATATGAAAAAAAAACAAACTCAATGCTGTCGAGTTGGTTCCAACTCATAGTGACCCCTCTTTGGGGTTCTGAGGCGGTATCACTATGGAAGTAGATTGCCCAATCTTCCTTCTGAGGAGTGGCTGGTGAGTTTGAACTTCCAGCCTTCTGCTTAGCAGTCAAATGCCTTAGGCACTATGCCACCAGTACTCCTATATAAACTATAGTCTGAAGCAATTTGCTGAAAAGTTCTTCTGTTCTCCTCTTGGGTGAGTGGAATTCCCACTTTCCCCACAGGATACCTTACTTACTATAATTGTATGTAACTACTTGGTATCTACCAAGTGAGAGAGGACCTCACTATAAATATGCATAATAAACATTAGCAAAATTCATTTTCTATTAAACATAAAAATAAATATAAATGGAAGTTTAAATATTTTCTTGTCACCTCAATGGGTGATCTTACACATTCCCTGTGTTGTATGTATCCCATTTTGGTGTTAAAAAATAAGTTAATTCTCTGGCAGCCATTTTTTTTTTTTTTTTTTTTAAAGAACATATAATCAGTAATAGGGAAGAGAAAGAGAAGAATGACATATACATCTCAATTGCTTTCTACTGGAAGATTTTTTTATTCTTTTTGTTAAAATGTGATTTGGGTGAAAATTTGCAGAGCAAATTCATTTTCCTCTCAACTGTTTATTTCATTACATTGATTGCAATCCCCACAGTGTAACAGCTCTCTTCCCACTTCTTCCCTGTGGTTACCTTTCCCTGTGTCCTTCTTTCTTATACATTTCTGCCTTCTGAGTTTTCTCCCTGCACAAGTGCTGCTCTTCTGACCTCCCAAGGTTGATTATTCTAAGGAGTGTACCTACCTAGTGTAATTTCACCTTGTAGACCTGTCTATTGTTTGACTGGAAACTACTGGAGTGAGTTCAGTTCCAGGACTGAAGGGTAACTAAGGACCATAGTCCTGGGATTTAAACTGTCTTTATCAGACCAGTAAGCCTGGTTTTTTTTTTTTTTTTTTTAATGATTTTGAGTATGGTCCACATTTTTCTCCCACTCTATCCAGGATCTCCAATTTTGATCTCTCTCTGAGTGGTTGGCAGCAGTGGCCAGGCACCATCTAGTTCTGTTCTCAGGGTCATGTAGGCTGAGGTTCCCACAGTCCAGTAGTCCCTTGGACTGTTTCCATGTGTCTTTGATTTACTTCACCCTTCTTTGTAATGGATAAGAGATCCATTTTTGTATTTTAGATGGACACTCGCAAGCTTTAAGACCTAAGTTGCTACTTATTAAAGTAGGATATCTACTGGAATAGTTCTACCTAACTCTTAATCAAGCTGGCCTTGCCAACATCTTTTCCTAAGTTAAGCAATTTTACATTGGTCCTAATATAAAGTATCTTCTTTCCTGTAATGTTATTAAAGTCTACGTTTGAAGTAACAAGTAGATGATTGTAATACACTGTATGGTACACTAAATTATGCTTGTCTCTGTTGTTTCCATTATGATATCTGCAGCCCCTTTTTTCATTTTTTTCTTCTGATCTTATTAACTCTCTACATAGATAAATTCCTATTCTTTCCATGTTTTTCTTTGGATACACTTTCTATGTTATCTTGTTTCCTGAAGTTCTCCAATCATGTTATCTTCAATAATAAAGTTTGATAAAGTGTAACAAAACAGAGCTTCCTTCAAAGTACAAGAATATGGGGAAATTACTGTTTTTCATGAAATATTATATGCCATACTTTATATGTTTTTTAAAATTAATACTGCTTACTTCAGATATAATTAGTAGGTTGCTCTAAGATCCAAAAAAAATGATCATTTTATTGTATATTACTTATTACATGACAGTAATATAGATACTATGGGCTGTGGCATCAGAACTGGATTTAAAATCTAACTCTGGAACTTACTGTCATCTTGAATTACTTTAATTCCATGGAATTGCCTCACACACAAAATGGGGTAATACTTTTATATGTTATCATCTGCAGTGTGTGTTTATGTGGCTACAAATACCATTAGCAGTGTTTTATATTTGATCAAACTGGCTGGTGTTGTTCAAGTCTTCAATAGCCTTATTAATTTTCCACCTGTTTTATCATTTACTGAGAAAGGAGTCTTGAAATCTCCCACTATAATTGGGGACTTATCTATTTCTCCTTTTAGTTCTGTTCTTGCTTTGCGCATTTTGAAATTGTGCACATACATTTACATACTCTGCATATATTTTATTCTCAATTAACTTACCCTTTGTTATAATTAAATGTCTCTTTTACCACAACTAATATTCTTTGTTCTAAAATCTACTGTCCAATATTAATGCAGCCACTCCAACTTTCTTTTTATTGGTGTAAAACAATGTTTTATTGCATCCTTGTTTCATTAGTGTTTTCCACCCTTTTACCTTTACTGCTTTTAAAGTGGTTTTCTTGTAGGCAGGTTATAGTTTGGTTTTTTAATTGCCTAAGATGTCTTTTGAGATGTTTTATAGTTTGAACTTCAGACCATTTAATGTAATTATTGTTTAATCAAATAGTCACTATTTCTATCCGTCCCACTGTATTTTGTGCCTTTTAAAACTCTTTCCTTATCTTCTTTTGGAATACTTTTTATTTTTCCACATTCCATTTACCACTATCATTTTATTAGGAATTCATCTTTATTTAGTGATTGCTTGAGTTTATATTTATAACCAAGAATTTTACAAAGAAAAAAAAATCCAGTTTTAAATTAACTTCATTATTCAAGCAAATATTGATCTTCAAGAAATGCTGTTTTAAATCTCAACTATTACCTAATTATTAATTACATTTAAAAAATTTGACAGGGGCCAAATATCTATTTATCAGTACAGAAGAAAAAAATGTCAAGTCTTCAAGACATGAGTGAAAAACTCAGGTAAGAATAAGAAATGTTACAATAAAAATGAAAAAGTATGATACAAAGATATGTCAACCAGAACTGGGCAACAAGTATTTTATAATCTATATGCCTCTATGCTTCCTAAAACCAAAACAAACCAAACTCACTGCCATGGAGTCAATCCCAACTTACAGCGACACTACAGGACTGAGCAGAATTGCCCCATTGTTTCTAAGGCTGTGAATCTTTACAGAATCAGGTTGCCTCATTAGGTTCAAACCTGCTGACCTTTCCGTTAGCAGCTCAATGCTTTAACTACAGTGCTACCAGAGCTCTCGTTGTTGTTATGTGCCGTCGAGTCGGACCGACTCATAGTGACTCCTCCTGGGTTTCCAAGGCAGTATCATTACGGAAGTAGGTTGCCCCATCTTCCTTCCAAGGAGTGGCTGATGGGTTTGAAACACCAGCCTTCTGGTTAGCAGTCAAGCGCTTTAGGCACTACGCTACCAGAGCTCCTACCAGAGCTCTTACACTTAAACAAACAAACAGATTAACCCAACACACTGCGATTGAGTCAATTCCAACTCATAGTGACCCCCGTGGGGTTTCCAAGGTAGTAAATCTTTATAGGTTACCCCATCTTCCTTCTGTGGAGTGGCTGGTGGATTTGAACCACCAACCTTCTGATTAGCAGTCACATGCCTTAGGCACTGTGCCACCAGCACTCCTTATGTTTCCTAAAAAGGATGGTAAAAGTAAGACCAACTCCCATTAAAAAACCTATTAGTGCACATCCATCTGTTCAATTAAATGTTTGCTGGTTGTTTACTATATGCAAGAATGCACTGCTGCTGGTACCTGTTATTGTTAGGTGCTGTTGAGTTTGCTCTGACTCAGCGACCCTATGTACAACAGAAACAACAGAACAAAACACTGTCCAGTTGTGTGGCATCCTTATAATCAGTGCTGTACCTGAGCCTATCATTGCAGCCACTGTGTCAATCCATCTTGCTGAGGGTCTTCCCATTTTTTGCTGACCCTCCACTTTACCAAGCATGATATCCTCCTCCAGGGAATGGTCCCTTCTGACAACACGACCAAAGTAGGTGAGACAGAGTCTGGCCATTTTTGCTTCCAAGGAGCATTCTAGCTGCACTGCTTCCAGGACAGATTGTTCATTCTTCTTTCAGTATTCTTTGCCAACACTAGAACTTAAAAGCATCAACCCTTCTTCAGTCTTCCTTATTCACTGTCCAGCTTTCACATGCTGGTACCTAGCTAGCACCCCACTTACTCCAAATTAAATATGATAGGGCTTGAGACATTTCTAATAATTTTTAAAAAAATGACAAAAAGACACTGGCGTAAGTTTTATAATTTTATTAAATCTTACTAGCTTTATTTAATAGACAAACACACGGACAAGTAGGTTACGGTACAGAAATCTTATTTTTATAAGAGTTAAGAAGCCACTAATCTATGTCCAGGAACTATCTTCAGTGATGCTTCTTATCTTTATTCTGGGATTCCAGTAAATATTCAGCTCCTACAGCTACCACAAATGCAGCAAATCCCCATTTGAATCCTTTTAATATTGCACCAACAAAGGAAACATTGTTTGCAAATCCACCCATGTATCTCCAAGCTTCATTGCTAGAGGAAAAAAAAAAGAGGTGGGGGAGGATTATAATCATATAGTATTTGTATAAATTCACTGATTAAAATATATTGGATTTCATTCTTTGAGCAGACTGAAGTTTAACCTTATATAAGATAGGCTAAGAAGATAACAATACAAATTTTTCTGACCCTGGATATATAGGTACACATGCCCCAATTTCACATTTCCATCAAATAGAAGAAAAAACACTTGATGATTTTCCAATCATACCACTCAAGATTTGAAAAATTCACAATGTAAGACTCATTTCAGTCTATCCCTCATAGGTCAGCTGGGGAGCTCTGGCCATACTAGTTATTATATCATCATAGAAAAAAGAAGTTAGATAGACTTTGGTACTAATATTTGCTCTGCCACTTAAACTAGATTCATATCTTTTAGGCTGAGCAAGTTGTACCTCTCAAGGCCTTCTTCCTCTTTTATTCAATTATAATTACTATCTATCTTACAGTGTTATAATGAAGATTAAACAAGGTTATATATGATACATTTTGGCACAGAGAACATGTGACACTTGACAATATTATTACTATTCAAGAGGATCACAATTTTATCTGTCACAGCAGCCTGAGCTCTAGAAGCCTGACTTCTTGCTCTGGCAATCATTCTTTTGAGTGCCCTGAACAGAGAAGTAAACAGAAGTCAGAGAGTTCTAGGACAATAATGGTTTCCCCCCATCAGGATAAGAAAAGTGGAACAATCATGTTACGAAAATCAAAAACCATTTAACTCTAAAAATATAGTGTACTAGAAAATATAAAGGAGCTCTGGTAGCGTAGTGCCTAAGGCACTTGACTGCTAATCAGAAGGCAGTTCAAACCCACCAGCCACCCCTAGGAAGGAAGGTTGGGCATTCTACTTCCGCAGTGATACCGCCTCAGAAACCCAGGGAGGGGTCGCTATGAGTTTGGTCCAACTCGATGGCACATAACAACAACAACAACAGAAAATGTAAGAGTTAATAAAAATCTAATGTAGATTATGAAATCAGATAAAGACATTAGAAGAAAACTAGAGAACAATATTCCTCATGAAGATACCCATTACTGACAAGTTGTTTCCAACTCAGCAATCCTATAGAACAGAGAGGTGCCCCACAGGGTTCCCAAGGTTGTAAATCTTTACAGAAGTAGATTGCCTCATCTTTCTCCTATGGAGCAGCTGTGGGGTTTGAACTGCCAAACTCTGAATGCGTAACGACTACACTACCAGGTGTAAATGCAGCTGAATGCGTAACGACTACACTACCAAGGCTCCTTCTCATCAACATAATAGAAATATTCTCCACAAACCTTTAAAAATTAAATCTAGCAATACATAAAAATAATAATATAGCATGATGAAGTAAGGTTCATCCCCAGGAATGTAAGATTAATGTTTGAAAATCAGTAAAAGTAACCCACCAAGGACTAAATAAGAAAAGCTATCTCAATAGATGTAGGAAAAGCGTTACAAAATTCAACACTCATTAGTGATTAAAAAGAAAAAAAATTCTCAGTAATCTAGGAATAGAAGGGAAATTCCTCTCCTTGATAGTAACCATCTACAAGAACAGTACAACTAACATCATACTTAGTGATGAAAGACTCAATGCCAAGGATGTCTACTTTCATCATTTTATTCACCATTGTATTAGAAGGCTTAGCCGGTGCAATAATTTAAGAAAAAAAAGTTTACAGACTGAAAGGGAAGAAGTAACATTGTCTTTATTTATAGGCAAAATGATTGTATATGAAAAATATCCTAAGGAATCTACTAAAAAAACCAAAAACAACTATTACAGCTAAAATCTGAATTTAGTAAGGTAATGGGATACAAAGTCAATATATAAAAATAAAATTTATTTCTCTATATTAGCAACAAACAATTGAAATCAAAATGAAAACATTTACAATATCAAAAACATGAACTTTTTTGTTCATATTTTTTAAAAGATATGTGCAAGATTTGTACATAAAACAACAAAGCACTGCTGAGGGAAATTAAAAGAGGATCTCAATTGTTCATGGACTAGGAGACGCTGTATTGTTAAGATGTCAATTATCCTCGAATTGATCTATAGATTCCTTATAATACCAATTAAAATGCAAGTAATCTTTTTGTAGACATTAACAAGCTCGTCCTATAATTTATATATAAATGCAAAGGACCTGGGATAGCAAAAACCATTTAAAAAAAAAAGAATAAAAAGGTGGTCTTCAACTACCTGATTTGAAGACACTGTGGTACTGGCATAAAGGTAGGTATACTGATCAGAGTAATAGAATAAAAGCCCCAAAGGAGACCACAAATACTTGGTTCAACTGATTTCTGACAAAAGGATCAAGGTAATTCAAGGTGGGGATAACAATCTTAATAAATGGTGCTAGAACAACTGAATACCCACATGAAAAAACAGAAACCTTTATCCTTGCTTCAAGACTGTATGCTTCTAGAAGAAAATATAGGGAAAAGTCATAGATAAAATGCAAAAAGCATAAACTATAAAAGAAAACCACAATGCCCATAAATTGGGAATTGACATCAAAATTTAAAACTTTTGCTCTTTGAAAGACATTATTAAACAAATGAAAAGACAAGGTACAGCCTGTGAGAAAATATCTGCAAAACTTTTATCTGACAAAGTAGTTATATTCAAAATATATAAAGAATTCTTACAACTTAATAACAAGGAGACAAATACCCTGATAAATAAAATGGACAAAAGATATGAATAGATATTTCACCAAAGAAGATACATAAATAACAAATAAGCACACAAAAAGATTGTTATGATCATCAGTCTTTAGGGAAATGTAAATTAAAACCATAAGAGGGTAATACTCTATATTCAATGGAATGCCTAAAATTAAAGACTTAAAATGCCAAATGTAGATAAGGACAGTGAGCAAGTAAAATTCTCATATTGCTGATGGGAATTCAAAATGGTACAGCCACTTATGGGTAAGTCTCTAAAGCATTAAGTGAAAGAGGCCAGAACAAAAGAGTACATATTACATGACTGCTAGAAAAGTCAACACTAGAGACAGAAAGCAGATCAATGATTGCCAGGAGTCAGGGTAGGATATGGACATGCACCGGTGCATAAGGAAACTTTTTGGGATGCTAGAAATATTTTCCATTATGATTGTGTTAGTGGTTATATAATTGTACACATTTACTAAAGTTCATAGAACTGCACACTTAACTGTACAATTACAATGAATGAATTTTATTGTATTAACTGACACTTCCATAAAGCTGATATTAAAATTTTAATGTAAAAAAGCTCTTTTCATGATTCTTTAAAGAAGAATACATTGGAAAGAAAAATACATATAAGTTCTCTGGGATAAATTCTATCTAAATTATTCAATTCCTCTTACCGGCCCCACGGATCCCTTAGCCCTCGTGCAGCCAGCTTCTCCTGGACAGTTTCTAAAGGTGTGCCTTCTATCTTCCATTGTTTATAATCTGGAAGTTCCATTTTATGATGCCCATGTCCATGTCCAGGCTCGTGTCCATGTCCAGGCTCATGTCCATGTCCAGAGGTCATATCCAAGGAAGATACTTTAAGAGAAAAAAATGCAGATTGTAGATATCAAATATCTAATTTACTGTTTATGTTTTAAAGTAAAATGTTTAAAATTAATGTTTTAAAAAGAGAGCCAATAAAATATTTGAAAATTCTGAGTTCAAGAGATATTATAAAAGTGTCTTATTATATAACTAATATATGTTCCCAATTAGGAAACATACATATACAAAGTATTTAAAAAAATCATCAGTAATTCCATCACTTAGAGATAACCCTTTATTATCTGTTTTTTCCATCATTATAATAATCCTAAACACTAACTGAGCCCTATGTGCTAGTTACATTATGCTAAATGCTTTACATTATCAACTCTGCTACTACTAAAACGCTTTGAACTTAAATTTCCTAATATTATCACCACCATTTTACAGATGAAAGCAATATGACGACAATAACTCCAAGAAGTAACTTTTTGAAGATAACAAAAATAATTAGAACTGTGGTATGAACCTGTAGTTTGGTTTCAGACCCTCCTAACTTGTAAGTAATGTTTCCTTTGTTTTAGTTCTTTCATGATTCATAAATATGGATAATAAAAAAGTTATATATACTGCTTTTGTCATCTGCTTCTTTATTCTTTTAAAATCAGCATTATTGCTATACGGCCACATATTTTTTTTCTGTGAAGAGCGAGCTGGTAAAAATTCTAGGTTTGTCACCCAAGGGATAAAATTTATGGCAACTAAGAAAAACAAAATGAACTCTGCTGGCACAGTGATTAAAGCACTTGGCTGCTAACCAAAAGATTGGTGGGTTGAACCCACCAGGCGTTCTGCAGGAGAAAGATGAGGCAGTCTGCTTCCATAAAGATTTACAGCCTTGGAAACCCTATAGGGCAGTTCTACTCTGTCCTATATGGTTGCTGTGAATCACAACCAATTTGATGGCAGTGTTTTTTTTTTTAAGAATAAATTATGTAACAAGGGAGAAAAAAATGTCCATAATTTCTTCATTCATGAAATTCAAAATACGATAATAACTAAGTGCAATTATTTTGTAACCCAGATCTACTGATAAAAAAATGGAATTCCTTCTTTGGGGGGTAATACTTGGTTAATTAAAGGTTCAAAGTTAGTGTTGCTTATCAAGTCAATTATAAACATTTATCTCAAAAATTCTTAGCTCATAAACCATATAAAACCAGTAGGTGGGCTGACTTTGGCTTACAAGCTATACTGTCAGCCCCTGAACTTGACCAACAGAGACCTTCCAAAAACAAAAAACCCAAATTCACCACCATCGTCCAACTCATTGCAACTGCCCCACCTCTTCTCCCAAGGAGTGGCTGGTGAGTTCACCACCAGAGATCCTTAACAGAGATCTTCTTGTTGTTGTTGTTATGTGCCGAGTCAGACCTGACTCATAGCGAACCCTCCTTGGGTTTCCGAGGTGTATCACTACGAAAGTAGACTGCCCAACCTTCCTTCCGAGAAGGGGCTGGTGGGTTTGAAGCGCCAGCCTTCTGGTTAGCAGTCAAGTGCCTTAGGCACTATGCTACCAGAGCTCTTAGGACTTCTTTAATCAGTAAGTTTGCTCTCATATATAAAATAGTCCTCAATGATCATATATAGACTTCAGTCTTACTACTCTTATTTTTATAGATAATGCAAGAATAAACTTCAGCTCAGTCCCCATCTAATTGCTATGAATTTCAAATAAAAGGGGGAGCTCTGGTAGCATAGTGTCTAAGGCACTCGACTGCTCACCAGAAGGCTGGCGGTTCAAACCCACCAGCCACTCCTCGGAAGGAAGGTTGGGCAATCCTACTTTCGTAGTGATACTGCCTCGGAAACCCAAGGAGGGGTCGCTATGAGTCGGGGCCGACTCGGTGGCAAACAACAACAACAACAACAACAACATACTATAATTTGGGAGCTCAGGTAGCATAGTGCCTAAGGCATTTGACTGCTAACCAGAGGCTGGTGGTTCAAACTCACCAGCTACTCCTCAGAAGGAAGATTGGGCACTCTACTTCCGTAGTGATACTGCCTCAGAAACCCAAGGAGGGGCCGCTATGAGTTGGATCCGACTCGAGGGCAATGAGTATACTATAATTTGTGTAAGGTTAGCAGTAGTAATTCTATAATCATTGCTCTCAAGGAGTAAAACCAAACTAAATAATTATTACCATTATGTCAACATTTATAACTACGAACAGGCCCAATAATAAGACAGATTTCTTTTACTGCATCTCAGAAGACAGAGATAATTATTAGATATTGTATACTAAAGGTAGGAGCTCTGGTGGCATAGTACCTAAGGCATTTGACTGCTAACCAGAGGTAGATTATGTTAATGTCTCTAAATGCTCATTTCATTAAACTATAGTTTCCAGAATACACAGTAATTCTGACAAATTAACCAACATTTATTTATTTATAATATTTATAAACATATTGGAGGTCTGATGGCATAGTGCCTAAGGCATCTGACTGCTAACCAGAAGGGTGGCGGTTCAAATGCACCAGCCACTCCTCAGAACGAAGGTTGGGCAATCTACTTCTGTAGTGATACTGCCTCAGAAACCCAAGGTGGGGTTGCTGTGAGTCAGATCCGACTCGACGGCAGTGAGTTTGGTTTGGTTTTTGGTTATGAACATGTTAACAGATCACAAAATATTAAGTTGATGATTTTCACATGTGACAGAATGAAAACCAATACTCACTAAACACAAAGCTAAAACTACAACACTCACAACTTTGAATGAAACGCCAATATTCTTCATTATCTAGAAGAGTCAATAATATGAAGCAAAAAAGTGTATGATTTCAGGTTTCAGACTGACTTTTGAGATCTAGTACATTATTACAAAAGAAAGACTTTTAGAAAGTTTGAATTGGAATAGTTATTTCTTGGTTTCTTCACACCACATCCGTTTTGGTTACCTAGTGCCACTCTGACAAGAATATACCACAAATGGGATGGCTTTAACAAACAGGAGTTTATTCTCTCACAATTTGGAGGCTTTAAGTCCAAGTACAAAGTGCCAGGCTCTAGGGGCTGGGTGAAAGCCACTCAACCTTGGGGTCCAGCTCTGCCTCCTGCTCCTTTTCCCACTGGACCTAGAGGCATTTATTCACTCAGACAGCTGCTGGCTGCTGAGGCCAACAAGCCCAAGGACGACAAGTAAAAAAGCACAGTCCCAATGTTACCAAACCACATGACAGGCCATTAAGTTAAGTCCATTGTAAGTCCCAAGGTTGGCAGAGCATGGCAGACTGCTGAACAACAAGATGGCTGTAGGATCCACGCATGCAGGGTCCAAGTGTGCCATAAGCTAGAGATTATCCTCAAGGCTTCTCCTTATATACAGGAAAGAGACCACATCCCAAAGGTAGCTACTCAGCTGCTTGTGGTAGATCCCACCATGGAGTTGATTGCCAGTCTCATCGTGGGGAATAACTACCACCAGCTTCCCAGCCACTCAACCTGGCCCAGCCAAGATGACATACAAATTAACTACCACAATGTCTAAAACATACACTTTTAAAAAATTAATTTATTATTATTATTTTAATTTTTGCAGTGTTCCCTCCTCTCGCCTCCCTGGTAACTAACAAAGAAAGTGTCCTTCCATATATAAACCTTTCCTTGACTCTTCACAATAATGAACAAATACAGTATTTGTCCTTCTGTGACTGACTTATTTCACTCAGCATAATGTCCTCCAAGTTTAAAACATACATTTTTTAAAAAACAACATTACATTCTAAAAAGTCTCAAGGCAAACCTTTACTTTGGCAAATAATTCTAGATATTAATTCTAATTGAGTATTAATGAACTTAGAAAAGAATACAAAACAATGGGTCAAAAATGCTTCAGTTTTTAAAAACAAAAGTTGGAACATTCCCATGGTATGAAGTCTGGCTCAAAGTTACAATATTATTATGCTCAAAATACTAAGTAATTTGGAAGATAAATCTTTCAAACAAAAATGAAAGTATACTAACTAATTTCTTCTAAACAAATTTCCTTGAACGAATTCGATGTGTTTTCTCTGCCTAATTAAATCATTCCAGAAACTGTCCCATCAGGTGTTTAAAGTGTTTACTAAATATAATGTTTAAGTGATTAAAAAAAAAAAGTTGAACACTCTTTCTAAGGAAACTTTGTTTTCTTTTAAAACTTATTTCTATTTCAAAACAGCCATAAGTTAAACAATGATATATTGATCACCTGAAGCAAAGAGTTTGGAATTCTCCTACTTAACTGCAGACTTTGATTGATACATATCTAGCATCAAATCATCATTGATAGCTGTAAAATCCTGGATAAATCACTTAACCTGAGTTTCAGTTTTTTCATAGAACATGAAGCTAAGATCTACCTTGCAAGATTACGAGAATCAGGGAAAACACAGTGATGTACCTTCCACTTTCATACCCAGATGGCGAGAATGTGATTTGGTGCAACCCTGAAAAACTGACATGCCCTAGTAAAGTTAAGCATTCTAATCTTGTTGTTGTTTGCCATCGAGTCGGCCCCAACTCACATCGACCCCTCCTTGGGTTTCCGAGGCAGTATCACTACGGAAGTAGGAATGCCCAACCTTCCTTCCGAGCAGTGGCTGGTGGGTTTGAACCGCCAGCCTTCTGGTTAGCAGTCAAGTGCCTTAGCCACTATGCTACCAGAGCTCCTATTCTAATCTTATGGTCCAGAATTCTACTCCTAGATATAGACTCTAGATTTGCTCTAACAAGACAACCACTGTTGTTGTTGTTGCTATATGCCGTCGAGTCAGCCCTGACTCATAGACCCCTCCTTGGGTTTCCGAGGCGATATCACTACGGAAGTAGATTGCCCAACCTTCCTTCCAAGAAGCAGCTGGTGGGTTTGAACCGCAGCCTTCTGGTTGGCAGTATGCTACCAGAGCTCCCAAGACAGCCACTAGCACTTGAAAATGTGGCTACTGCAACTGACTAAGAACTTTTTATTTAACTTTATCTGAATTTCAAAAGTAATTCTCAATTACCAGAAAATTTTAAAGCATCTTTGGCATGCCGAAAAACTAAATCTACTATCAATGAGTGAATTCCGACTCAAAGCAATGCCATAGGACAGAGTAGAACTGCTTCATAGGGTTTCCAAGGCTGTAAATCTTCACGGAAGCAGAATGCCTCATCTTTCCCCCTCAGAGCAGCTGGTGGGTTTGAACTGATGACCTTTTTGGTTAACAGATGAATGCTTTAACCACTGCATCACCAGAGCTTATTAATTTGGGCATAGGAATCTACTTTTTTCAATTGTAAAAACTGAAACCTAGCATACAAATTTGAAAACTTAGCATCCAAATTGAGGTATTCTGTAAGGGTAATATACCCATCAATTTCAAAGACATTATTAAAATCTTAAAATATTTCATTTTTTAATAATGATTATAAACTGAATACAAGTTTTAATATAGTGAGTTAAATGAACTGTATTTCTAAAATTAATTTCATCTGTTCCTTTTTACTTTTAAAATGTGGCCACGAGAAAATTTTAATTAATCTTATTTCTGTAAGACAGTGCTGTTCTAGAGAAACTCTTACATGTGTGTAAGATGTTTCACAAGACTCTTTATAGCCACATTGTTTAGAGTAGCCCCAAACTGTAAACATCCCAAATGTCTAACAACAATAGAATGGTCACATTATGGAACATTATACAGCAACCAAAAACTACATGCAAAAGTATGAATGAATCCCTCAAATATAATGAGCAAGCAGTAAGTGAGGGAAAAAAATATCATACACTACAATCCCATTGATATAAATTAAAAAGACCTAAGCATTGTTCTTTTAGGATGTATCATAGATGGAAAAACTAAACTGAAACAGAATGCTAACCAGAAGTCAGGACTGGGGTTACCACTTACAGAAGATGGAATCACAAATCAAACAAGCAGCCTGTAAGGCAGTGTTTCTCATCCTTTTAAAAAATTATTGTCTCTCTACGGAACCTTTTTGGAGTCCCCAGGTAGTGCAATCAGCTGCTAATCAAAAGGTTGGAGGTTTGAAACTACCCAGAGGCACCATGGGCGAAAGACCTGGGAATCTACTTCTGAAAAAGAGGTCACTGAAAAGCCTATGGCGCACAGGTCTACTCTGACACAGATGGGGTCACCATGAGTTAGAATCCACATGAGGGCAATTGGTATTGATAAAGAACTTTTTTAGACATTTCTTCCTTAACCATCCCCCTCCCCCATGAAATGTTAACATCACAAATATGCTGTATATATCTATGTATGTACTGTGACCATTTAACGGTTTTGATAACCACAAACCATTGATTTTTTTCAACCCTCCTTCAATGAGTGTGCTATCCCCATTGTGTGATACTACCTCCATTGGGAATCTACATTCTAAAGTATTGGCAATGCTTTATTTCTTAATCTGAAGGGTTGTTACACAAGTGTTTGCTTAATTATAATTCTTTAAAGTGGATATATGTTTCAGAGTTGTTCAAATAACAGTAGTGAATTAGTGCGACACAGAAAGAACAATCATGAAAAAATTTTAACATATGACCAAGTCTGAAACAGGACTTCAAACCAGTTCATTCTAATTCAACCCCTTGTGGAGAATCTGCCTTTCCAACCCAGATATACTGCATCAAAATCTACATTTTAACAAGATCTCAGGTGATTCTTTTTTTCAATTTTTATTGTGATTTGGGTGAAAGTTTACAGAACAAATTCATTTTCCATACAGCAGTTCATACACATTTTGCTTTATGACATTGACCGCAATTTCTCACAATGTAACAGCTCTCTTCCTACTTCCTCCCTGTAGCCACCTCTTCCCTGTATTCTTTCTTATGCATTCCTGCCCCCTATGCTGTCTCCCTATGCAAATACTGCCCTTTTGTTCTCCCATGCTTGACTGTTCTAAGGAGTTTATCTATCTGATGTAAATGTTCACCCTATATGCCTGTCTATTGCTTGGCTGGAAGCCACGTGAGTTCAAGTACAGACCTGAAGGGTAATTAGGGGCTACAGTCTCAGGCGTCTCACCATGCTTTATCAGACCAGTAAACCTATTTTTTTTTTTTTACGATTTTGAGTTTTGTTCCACATTTCTCCTCCCACACACTCCATCCAGGATCACCTGCACTGATGATCCCTTTCTGAGTAGCTGACAGTGGTAGCTGGGCACCATCTAGCTCTTCTGGTCTCATGATCATATAGGCTGCATGGTCCACTATTCCCTTGGACTAATTGTTTCTACACGTCTTTGGTTTTCTTCATTCTTCTTTGCTCTGAACAGGAGAGACCCATTGTTGCATCTAGATGGCCACTTGCTAGCTTTTAAGACCCCAGTCACTACACACCAAAGGAGAATGTAGAACAATGTTTATGTGTAGTATGTTAGGTTAAGTGAGCTCGATGTCCCCTGGGACCATGGGCCCAAGGCCACAGGTTCTACATCCTGCTCCATCAGGGTGGCTGATTGTGCCTAAGAAGTTATCATAATTCCCAAGGTGATTCTTATAAGAATCTTATAGATTCAGAATCATATCTGGGATGGAAATATAAATTCTCAGCAGGAGGTTGAACAGGAATGAACTGGTTTGACGCCCTTGTCTGAAGTGACCTCCAAGTTTGGTGGAGATTAATCTCCACTGAGAACTGACTCAAATATAAGAAAAGTGCTGGCATACTTTTCCCTAAAAAGGAAAGTTCCTTCTACACCATATAATTTTACAGTTTCCTTTGGTGTATGTTCCAACTTGCCCTCATTTTAAGACCACAAATATTAGAAAATAAAAACGAATGAACTGCTATCACTTTCAGTGTTTGCTCTCCACTCCCGCCCTACAATTAAAAATTATAATTCTAAAAATAGATGAGATTTTGTATCTTGCTTCTTTTTTGTTTTCTATCATTTAACACTGTGCCATATTCATACTAGAAAAAAAAAATCTTGCTTTTAAAACTACAAAACTCTGAGGCAGGCAGCACAATTACTGCTATTTTACAGGGTGTTCTTTTGCCTTTATTCGTTTCAAAGGCAAACCAAACAATACTGGGGAGGTGTTGAAGAGAATGGGGCGAAGAGAAAAAAGCACTCGGATTTAACAACCACAGTAATTCTCACTGCTTCCTTCTCCAAGCACCTCTGCCCACCTCAGCTCTAAATTAGGACTTTCCAGTTCTCTCCCGCCTGTTCTTCGAGCGCCTTCTCTCTTAAGCTGCCCCTCTTACCATCCTTCACCAAGACACTCCTTCCTAAAAACAAAAACAAAAACAAACCCACCCAAAATAGTCTTTCTTATTCCCAATCCAGAGGTCTCCCTCCAAGTACCTAATTTACCTGACGGCAATCTGACCTCTCAGGACACTCAAAACTCAAGCCACCAGCTGGAGCCTAACCGGAAACGGAAGTTGTCACATCGGGTTCCTTACGGCAAGAAAGTAGAGAAGTCATTTATCGTTCCGGTATTCAGTCACAGATTCCTGGAACAAGTGGAAAATATACAAAGAAGGTTGGAAGTCAACATGTTTTCCACATATGTGCATCCTAAGTATGAGTGAAGTAAGGGAAATTGTGGAGGAGAGAAAGACAGGAAAGAGGAGCTATTTTCCTGGCTTGGAGACCGGAATCCTTAGATACTGCACAGAGGGGAGGTCTGTGGACGACTATAACCAGTAAATGAGGCTGTTGTTGAAAGCGTGGACTAATCCAATGGAAGGGCTGGTTGTTGCGCTGCAGTTGGCAGGCTGCTGCGGGAGGCGGTGGCGGTAGGAACCCAGAGGCAGCGGGGTGACAGGTAGGTGGCGGCGCTGTCTTTGAGGGACGCGAAGTGCTAGATCAGAAGAGATTTTCTCTTCTCCAGCTGTACGAACTATATAGGGGAGGTGACGAGAGTGGTCTGTGAAAGCGGTTGCTGGAGTATTGGTGGTTCCAGAACCCCTGGTAGACCTGGTAGCAGCTTGAGAGGGTCATGAGGAGGAGAGAAAGCAGCTAAGGCGGGTAGAATCTGAGTCCTGTGGGGCGACGCGGGGGCCTAGGGCGTGGGGGGCTGCAGTGACGCCGACAAGGAGGGAGCAGAGAAGCAGGAGCAAGAGGATGTCGTAAAGGCGGGAGGAATTCTTTGCACGAAACCCTAGGCAAACGCAGCATTGCAAACACCTGGCTGAAATCCTAAGGATTGCATTTTAGGGCCGTTTCCCGGGGTGGAGAGGGTGGGAGTGGAGAAGAAAGATATTTACTGGTGAGCAAATCCTTGAAACTCTTAGGGCTATACATTATGTAATCCTTGGCTCTTATTTACCCAAACACGTAGGTTTCCCTCCTGAAAGAGGAGGTCTTGCAACCAATAGCAATGGATGTGTCAGAACACTTTCTTCTTTGGCTTTGAGTGCTTTCTACCAGGCTGGCTCTGTAGGCGACGGGTAGCGTGAAGGATGGAGTAGTCACGAAGAGCTCCTCCCAAATATGGACTTGGATTGAGAGATAGGATGTTAGTTTGAGATGTAGGTGGCCAGATTCGCGTTTTGTAGTTCGAGTGGATCTGTTTTGAGGGTCAAGGCTGATTACAAATACATTTTTTTTTTTTTTTCAATCTTCAGGAAAGTGAAGAACCTCACCAAATCTATAGTAGGAGGTAAGTGCAGCAGGTTAGAAATGACTAGAAAATTAATTCAGTAGATTCTCCTTCAGATATTATATATGTTAGGAATGGTGAAAATAAGGTGGTCTGAACTGGGATAAAAGTCAACTCTTAAGTAGTTTACTGTGTAAGCCTGAGAGGCTAGTTATGAATTATTTATTTGTTAGGCTTAAAAAAGTAACTCTTTGAGCCTCTTGGACTGAGGTAAAATGTGTTTACAGATATAATTAACTGTACACTGTCCTTTTTTTAAGGTGTTTTTAGGATTCATTTTTGCACAATGAAATGTAGAATGAAAATATGAATCCCATTCAGTGTGTATCATGGAATGACATACTACAGAAAAATGTGATTTTATAGCTCATTGGAAAACCATTTTAAAAGAAGCATTATAAATTGTTAAAAATGTAAGCTGTTTGAAATGTTGCCTTTAGCTTAGTAGATAAAGATGAATGTAGTATTAGCAACTGTATCATTTTCCAAAGGTTATTTTAGTACTGCATGTCAGAATAACTTTCTAAGATGTAATTGTGTGTGTGTGTGTGTGTGTGTGTATTATATTTTATATTAGTATGTGACAGAACCTAAGTTGAAATTGTTCTTCTTTCTCAAAAAATTATTTAGGAAAGAGAGGTGGCTTATTAGCATTCATTTGTTTATTCTGAAATGTTTAGAATAATGAGATATTTGTTAATGCTTTAGATAAAAATTTAATTGCTCCTTGGTATTTTATTCTTGATTCTTTTTTACAAGAATAACGCTATCTCAGTCAAAAAGAATATTTCTGATTCAATTTTGGGTACAATTCTGTAGTGTGTTGAGTACCTGTGAACAAATCTCTGCTTTTATGCAAGATGAGTGGTGTGTGTGTGTGTGTTTGTGTTCCTATTATGTAACCAACCTATTAGAGCTGATTTTGAATGGCCAGTAGATGTCATTGTAGAATGCAATAAAGTTCAATATAGAGTAAGAAATTATCAAGTAATTTAAGAAACACTAGTCCAAATTGTGGGCAATCTACTTCCGTAGTGATACTGCCTCAGAAACCCAAGGAGGGGTCACTGTGAGTCAGGTCCGACTCGATGGCAAATAACAACAGTCCAAAGTGGCTGATTCTTTATATGTCATTGGAAGTCTTCTGACACATTGCAGTATTAGAACTGCTTATAAGGCATTTGAAACAATGGCTATGAAGAAGTATAATTATTTGTTCTAAATGGACTAGTTTACTGTGTAAGTCTGAGAGGCTAGTTATGAATTAAGTTTGTTTTTAGTCCAATCCTTAAGCTATCTTGACATGCAATACATATTTAGGTTTATCTGATAGTTTTGAATACAGTTCTGACTTCATATAGTATGCGTATTAAGTTTTCAAATGACTAAGATTTTCAGCTTGATTGACCTGTATAATAGAAAAACTGATGCTGCATAATGAAAAGCTAAAATGATAACATATGAGCAGAAAGTCTCCAAACAAGTTATCAGCTGCACAGTATAATACTTTATTATTGTTGTCTTAATACCAGAACAGAGGAATTTTTGTCTCTCATTTTCCATGGCTTCTTAGTTTTTTTATGTCCCAATTTGCTGCTTTTTACATTTTTTATCTGCTGAGTAAGTTCTGTGCTTTTCTCAGGATGATGAACTGAACATTTACCATTGTCTCAAATAGAATGCAATGGATTCTAGACGGAGCTGCCACACAGAGCTTTGAGCGTGGCTTACAGCTGGTATTAGTACAGCCCCTTACCTAAAGAGCTTTTCAGCTGAGCTCTTGTGCTTTGTACTTCTGCTCTTAAGCCCGCTCTTGACACTGTGTTTGTTTGTTTTTAAAAAAGGATTGGCTCTATTATGGAATTTTTCATGAAGATAGAGAGTAGCATATATATTCTATTCTAAGAGTTAAAAAGAAGATGTACATGCAGATATCTGTACATTATTTCCACTTCCCTTCATAATCTTAGTGGTAGGGGAGGTTAGGAAGGGTGTAGATATATTTTTTTGGGGAAAAAAAATCCCCAGATGAGTTGATTCACCATTGGCTTCCACTTTAGAATCATTGATCTAATTCAAAGCTCTGGCACTTGTGGTATGAAGCAGGTAGGTACAGAACTTTTAGCTTGAGAGAAAGGGCTGCCAGATCTGCCAGTATTTTTATAGCTCAATAAATTTTCACCATTAATATCATAGCTGGGATACATTTTGTAGGCAGGAGCTGAAGTTGCCAGAAATAACTGTGCTGAGTGTTTTGGTTTGGATTAATTTTTACTTGACATTTAGCTGCTTTTGATAAACCAAACTAATTTCTTTCACACTTGAAACCTATGCTACTTTGCACAGATATTTACTCATATCTTGTGCTGTGGTGTCTCTGAAAATGATCTATTTCTAGAATTAAACTGATAAGAATTAGAAAAGGTTTTCTTGATCAAAGGTCCTTTTGTGATACAGCTATGATACACTAAACTTCTATATTTTAACTTTTGCCTAAACATTCAGTCAATAATATATTCTAAAACTGGGAGGAGCATAAGAGATAAAGACAAAAAAGATAAATATTATATACTCAATCCTGCAATTACAGTAATAGCAATAATCTTCAGGTGAACACATAGGCACTCAAACTAAACAGGGGTGGGAAGATGAATGGGACAACATCCACGAATATATATATATATATAGGTTTGATGAGGTATTTCTATGTATGTATTTACATGTGCTGCAAATATATCCATTTATGTAATAGAGCATATAGGAGGCAAAGTTAGGAAAACTTCATAGCCATAACCATAAGCCTTGAGGGAATGAGTCACTAGGCATGGGGCATCAGGACCATGGTCTCTGGGGACATCAAGCTCAATTGACATAAAATAGTCCACAAAGATAATGTTCTACATCCTACTTTGATGAGTAGTGACTGGGGTCTTAAAAGCTTCTGAGTAGCCATCTAAGGTGCATCTATTGGTCTCTTCCCACCCAGAGCTAAGATGAGTGAAGAAAATCAATGAAAGATGGAAAACTTAGTCCAAAGGACTAATGGACCACATGAACCCAGCCTCCATGACTCTGATACCAGGAGAACTAGATAGTGCCCAGCTATCACTACTAACCACTCTGAAAGGGTTCACAATAGGAGGTCCTGAATAGAGTGAGAGGAAAACATGGAACCAGACTCAAAATAATGAAAAAGACCATGCTTACAGGTCTGATAGAGACTGGTGAAAGCCCTGAGACTGTGGCCCATTGACAGCCTTCAGGCCTGGAACTGAACTCACCCTTGTGGCTCAGCTTTCAGGCAAATGATAGACAAACCTAGAAAATGAACAGTAACACCAGGGAGGTATGTACTTCTTAGAACAATCAACCATATGAGATCAAAAGGGCAGCATTTGCCCAGGGATAAAGCTCAGAAGGAAAAAGGGATAGGAAAGAAGGATAAATTTTGAAATGTTAAGTATAGGGAGAAGGTGGGAAGAGTGCTGTTACATTGTAGGCATTACAATCAGAGTCACAAAACAAAATGTGTATAATTGTATTTTTAAAAAACAACAACACTTAGACTTACTAATGAGCTGACTTGATATGGATCAAGTTAAGAAATTAATGGTCCATCTTTATGAATTCTGGACTTTCTGTTTGAGTATCTGGTTTCCATGGATAGGTATGAGAAAAAGTAAATGGAAATTTAATTTTGAAGAAAGGAGGAAAAATGCAATTACGAAATATATTAAGTATAATTTTGATTATAGAATTATAATACTTTCTAGGTTTGAGCTATAACTGCTAAAAGAATAGTCATAATGTATAATAAATGACAATTTATTGAATGGATAAACATGAGTTACAGAATAGTTGTTATAGTGTAACATCCAAGTCAACTTAATATCCCATAATGGTGTGTGATACTTGTTGTTTTGTAAACATTTCTGTTGAGCATTTCAGCAAATATTTGAAAGAGAATTTACTGTATAATCTTAATCTTATTGGACTCAATAGTAGTAAACAATTGTTAAAGTCTCATGTAACGAGCAGTGCTTATTTTCTGATCATGGCCTTCACTTGAGAGGTGCTCTGACTGCCCAGCATGTGGATAATTAAAGAAGCAGTATATTACTGTGGAATGGAGAACTCTTCAGTGGAATAAAGGTTAAAACTAG